TAAGCGAAAAGGAGGCCAGAGCACTCCCAGGATGGGTGACCCACTGGGAAGTTGCTCGTGAGTTCCCAAAAACAAAACCGTGAAGGAATGGTAAGCCCAAAGCGGACAATATCGTGCTACAATGGTGGAACAGGCCCGGGAAGTGATCCGCCCAGGCTGGGATGTGACAAATGGTATCAGAGCCTAGGTTTAGCAGTCCTGTATAATTCTTGAATATCAGAACTATGCTGCCTCGTAGAGAGCCCCGTCAATCAGCTGAATCTAGTTTCCCTGATATTGCTCAATTAGGGGAAGCTATAGTTTCTACCATTCAGATAGCATTCCGTACTCCCCAGATGACACCTCTTGAGACAGTTCATAATCTGAAGTTAACTCACTTCATTGGAAATGAAGGTCATGAGGGGGTAGAAAAATGGCTGAATCATGTGGAGAAGACCTTTTAGGTGATGCAAAGTAAAAGGGAATCTTTCTTCTGATAGGTGGTCGAGACGACTACCTGGTTTTTGGGAGAACAACCTGTATCTTGGTGGAGACAGGAGTCTTACCAGTTGATCCCAGCAGAGATTGTGGACTGGGGAGTGTTTAAGGAGCTGTTTCGGAAAAGGTTCATTCCTCCTGCGTATATTGATAGTAATAAACAGGAGTTTACTCATCTGAGGCAAGGAAAGATGTCCGCTAATGAGTATTACAGGATGTTTATTGATCTATCGAGATATGATCCAAAGGTTGCTGCTAATCCGGTAGAGATGCTTCACCATTTCAATTTAGGTACTAAGAAAAAATGACGTTCCATAGCGACATCGACTCATTGTGCCTCTTACCAGGAGTTTTATGAGATTCTACTGAGGATTGAGGTCTCAGAGAACATACCTAGTGAAAGTGAGGATGAGGAAGGAAATAATGGGGGGCTAGAGATGAGATGACAAAGGAAAAGGGTAAGCATTTCAGGGACCCCGTAATACCCAGAACTTTAAGAGGAGTGATGGGAGTTCCAGCTCTTCTAGCGGAGGATTGAGTACTAATATGCAGAGGAGAGGTGGTAGATTTACTGGAGGCCCTAGGTTCCAGAGGCATAGAGATTTTGGTGGTTTAGGTGGATCCGATGCTCCCTTATGCCGCAGATGTAATATTAGGCATTTTAGGGAGTGTAGGAGAGGCAACAATGGATGCTTCACTTGTGGTCAAATGGGTCATAGGGCTGCTCAATGCTTTTAGAGTCAGCAGAGACCCCAGCAGCTGGAGGATCTATGTCCTATCAGCCATATTCAGCTGGAGGATCTCAGTGGTACCAAAGGGGACAGCCCCAGCAGGGAGAGATTGCTATTAGTAGTGCAGGGTCTTCGAGGTAGTTGGGTCAGCAGACGCAGGGGACGTGGTGTTCATGCCAACAGAGGTCGTGATGGACGACAACAAAATCAGGGTGGCGCAGCGGAAGCGTGGTGGACCCGGGCCGGGATGTGACAAATGGTATCAGAGCCAATCCCTGGCTGGAAGTGTGCCAATGAGGACATCGGGCCCCTAAGTGGGGTGGATTGTAACATCCCACATCGCCTAGGAGAGTGATCCTTAAATGTATATTCCCATCCCTACCTAGCACGAGGCCTTTTAGGAGCTCACTGGCTCCGGGTTCCATAGTAACTCGGAAGTTAAGCGAAAAGAAGGCCAGAGCACTCCCAGGATGGGTGACCCACTGGGAAGTTGCTCATGACTTCCCAAAAACAAAACTGTAAGGGAATGCTAAGCCCAAAGTGGACAATATCGTGCTACAGTGGTGGAGCAGGCCCGGGAAGTGATCCGCCCCAGGTCGGGATGTGACATCAGCTATTTAGGATTGATTCCTTATGTTTTTTTACAAACATTTGATAGCTTTTAAATGCAAAACATAAACAAAAACATGTTGGTGTTGGTGGATTATGTATATTATGTGCCATGTAATATACTCTAATAAATTGACTAAAAGTAGTGGAATGCAACTTTTTTATTTATTGTTTTTGTAGATGTCGAACTTAATTTCAAACTACCAGGCAACTAGTAGGGTTAGTCAGACACCTTCTCTAGCAAGTAGTGTTGCTACCACCTCCTAACCTGATATGGGCACGACAGGTGTGTCTCCGGTCATGCCTTTCAGTCCAACGGTGTCTCCGGCTCCTACGTCATCGACTTCTTCGATGACCCATCCTCTACTAAGCGCCCGACGAACTCATCGACGGCCTCAGAGTTATGAGGAGGCTGAGCAGTCTAGTGAGGCTTCCTCTGTCCATTAAGAGGGGTCCCAAATAGGTAATGCATCTTTCTCACAGTATTTTCAATTTAACAATTTGGAATTTAGATTATAATTGTTTTAAAGTCCCTAATTGGTATAAAGTGTTTGAATTGTTTTAGGGGAGGTTATGCTGAATTTTCAGTAGAAAATATCATTCCTCTTATGTTTGCCTTGTTTATTTTGTAGTTAAAAAAAAAAAGGGGGGGGGGGGCCATGCAGACTTCTGAAGATGTCACAGACCACTCGTACCCCAACTGAGAAGATCACCATTACATGGGATCCTCGACATTGTGCAGCTGCAACAAATGATCAGCACAGTTCATTGGCCAACGACATTGGCTCGGTTATTAGGAATCATTGCCCGCACCTGTGGGAGTCACTGATAGCTATCCCACATGAAGTCAAGGAAGCCGTTCTTCATGAATTACCGGTAAGTATTTACAACCTCAAATACTAAATTTTTATTAAAGTATACAAATATTATAAATTTTAACTACTATTTATGTGTTGAGTTTTGCAACATCACTATGAGCTCACAAACCTCAATGCCAATCAAAACCAGTACATCAACGAGCTTTGCGCCGACATGTTCACTTAGTGGAAAAGTGACCTCCAAAAGCATTATGAGAAATATGACGGTCCGAAGGTCGTTCTAGCAGTTAGGTGCCCTAAAAAGTTGGTGGACCACCGGGATGAATGGTAGTGCTTGTGTGACCATTTTTAAGATTAGAAATACCTCGTAAGTATAATATATATTCAATAATATTTAATCAAAATTTGTGTATTTTTAAATAACATTTTAATTTTTTCATTAATTTGTTATAAATATATAAACTAATACATTTTTTTAACTCAACAGAAAAAAGTGAAGGCAAACTCGATCAATCGATCGAAGAAGAAACCTCTTCATCACTTCGGCTCAAGATGCTTCTTTTATAGGTTGGAGGTGCGACGTAAGGTAACAGTATATTTATTTTAAGTTTTGATTCTTTTTACTCTATTACACAATTGGTAATCTATGTGTTAATATATATATTTTTTTCATTCAGGGGGGTAGCTTCATGTAAGTTATTTCATTTTTTAATATTCAATTAGTATTAATATTAATTACATGTATATTAAAATTAATTTGTTTGTTTTCATTTTTCTAGTCCACCATGATGGAGAAAGACCAGACCATTCTTGAGGAGGTGGCTTCCTAGCTTCTCCCTAGAGACCCTAATCAAGGAGGTGTTTTCCCCTAAGGATGCAGGTTTTTAGATCATGATAGACACACTCGATTAGGCCATCGGTCGTAGGCAGGGGAATGCTCACCAGGGGCTTGGTAAAGCCCGCCTTCAGGACCCTTCTGCCTCCTTCTCCAGGTAGAGAACATAAGAGATTGAACCGCTGACATCTGAAGTGGTGGACCTAAAGGAGAAAATTGTCGCCTAACAGTCTCAGCTTGCGTCCTAAAGCAATTTGATGAACCAAATTCGTCTCGCCCTTCAAATCTCTAGCATTCGGTTCCCCGACGTTGAACTAACTTCAACAACAACCACCCAACCCCCCGCCGCAGCAGCTACAACCTCCCAGCCCCCCAACACAACAGCAACACCACCAGCAGGCGATTGTGACGTGGACGACTACATATTGTAGATTTTTTTAATTATTGCAAATTTTAGAATATTTCTTTCCGTTGTATGTACATTTTCAATAATTTTTTATCCAATATTCTTCTTTACATTTTCTGTTTTTAATTTCATTAAATTAATTAAAGTTACATAAAACAATATTATCAACATTTAAAAGGAAAAAATAATAAAAAAATAAAAAAATAATTTTAAAATCTTACTACGATGGCCTTTATGTCCATCACGCAAAGGTCACCATGTCGAACCCCAGTTTCGTCGCTCAGAGGATCACACGCAACGAACACTCATTTATAGGTCTTTGTTTTTCGCAAGAACCACCAATTCCGTCGCGCAACATTCATTTCACTCAACGAAGAACTTTCCTCCGTCGCGTAATGTCTGACGTCACGAGCTTTGCGCGACAGAATTTGCGCAACGTCCTTTTCGCCGCCCAATGTTTTCGGTGACCGTATTTACCTTTGCACGACAACTATCGCTTCCTCGCCCAAGCAGTTATGCTTAGTAGTGTTTAACTATCAACAAATTTAAGCCTTTGTAATGCCCTACGTTTGGAATACAAATAATTATCTTTTCCTCAACGATTCTACTTTAACATTCGTTTTATTAGACTTAGCCACATTACCTAAAGCAACGTTAAAAAAAATCTTCCTTCTACACCTGATGTGCAAACCCTGATCTATTTATAATTTAGATTAATTTGGTACATATAGACTAAAATTTGTGTAAAAAACAATTACATTGTTATAAGAACTATGGCCTTTTATGTGAATATATATATATATATATATATATATATATATATATATATATATGCCGCCTCATTTACATATAAAAATGTGAATAATAAGTCAAACATGCTTAAAACCCAAATATTCTTTTAAAAGCAAAAGTTAAATGTGCTCGAAAAAGAAACCCTAATGTGCATAGAAAAATGTATGACGGAGAACTTAGTCAACAAAAATAGGAATTTGGTTTATGGTGCCTCTTAAGTTGGAAATTTCAACTTTGTATTTTGGGTATGGAGTTACCTCATTTTATGGAGACCGATCTTCTTTAATCTGGACAAAAACCCTATATAATAAGCCTTGCATGGTTATTGTTCTTTGCATTAGCATCTAAGATCTCTCTTATAGTACATAAGCACACACATAAAAACACACGGATCAAGCACACACTCACATACACACAGATTCAAATGGAGCGTTCAATGCGTCTTGTTTCAGCCGCCTTCGTTCTTGTCCTGCTTTTGGCGTCTACCGGTAATTATACCTCTTTTTAATAATTAAATTTTTATGATGTTTCGAATAAAGCATCTTATTCAACAAAAAAAATTGATCTTTAGATATGGGGCCAATGGGCATTGAGGCAAAGACTGAATCAAGCAAGGCAGTTGAGGGAAAGATCTGCGAGGTTCCGAGCACCCTGTTCAAGGGGTTGTGCATTTCGTCTAACAACTGTAAACACACCTGCAGAAAGGAGCAATTCACCAGAGGCAAATGTATTGGCGATGGCTTCACTCGTAAATGCGTCTGCACCAAAAAGTGCTAATTATTTTGTTAAAAAGAAATGTTATCTTTGTAGAGATCGTGCTTGTCTAATGCGATGGCCAGATATGGTCATGTATCCACATGGTTGCTTTTGCTAATAAATTGAATGACCCTACATGGATCATTATTCATATGTCTAGTTAGGGCTGGTTCGGTATGGGATACCGAACCAAAAATGGCATATCAAATCCCGAACCGAAAATTTTCGGGACGTAAATCTCATGACCGATCCCGAACCGAAATTTCGGGATTCCCGAAATATTTTCGGTATTTCGGAATTTCCCGAAACCGAACATCATCAGAATCCAAATCGTCTTAGATTAATATTGAAATCATCCGAACCTGCATTAATCCAAATTGAAATCAGAGACATAGTGATAGTGAATCAGTGAAAGATTTATGGTCGAGAAAGAAGCAAAGTGAAGAGAGGGACCTCCTCCTGACCCGAGCCCCCAATTCGAAACCCTAAGCCCCAATTCAAAAACCTAACCTCAATTCGAAATCCCACACACACAGAGAATCACTGGAGAGAACCGGAGGTGGGGATGAAGCCATGAGGTGTGGTGGTGGCCGGAGTGGAGATAGTTCGTCGGAGTCAGATTGCTAGACGGTGGGTGGCTGCTGAGCTTCAAATCCGAGAAAGAGAGGGAGAGTCTGAGACTGAGTGAAGGCAGATGAGAGGCGAAATGAAATGAGAGAGAGTGAGTAGGGATGTTTGGCTTGGTTTTGGATTGGGTGGAAGGAAGGGTTAGGTGGTTTCTGGGTTGTAGAGAGAGTGAGAGAGAGAGAATACGAGAGAGATGAGACAGAAAAAATGAGAGGGATAAAGGATTAGGTAGGTTATGAGTTGTAGAGAGAGACGAGACAGAAAATAAGAGAGAGATGAAGGGTTAGGTTATGGGTTGTAGATAGAGGGAGTCTGGGAGATAATCAAGAGAGATGACTGATGAGACAGAAAATAGGGAAGAGAGAGAGACGGCTCTGTCTTCAGAAAGCAAACACCCTTGCCTTGCGTGACCCATCCCTTCCCATGTGCTTGATGCAACGTTTGTCAGCACCACACCACACACACACTGACATATATACATATATATACACACACACACACTGACACATATACATATACACACACACACACACACACACACACACACACACACATTCCAACACACACACACACACATATATATAATATACCCAATATAATATTAATAAAGTTCGGTTCGGGATCGGGAATACCGAATATTTCAAATTGTAAGACCGAATCTCATACCAAACAATTCGGGATCGGTTCGGTTTCGGTACTAAAATTTTCGGGATTTTTGGTTCGGTATTTTTTCAATTTGGTTTCGGTATGGTTTGGGATTTCGGTATTTTTTTCCAGCCCTATGTCTAGTGTAGTGTTTTCACCGCGCCTTACGTACTTTTAATTGCCTATTATCCCGAAATGCTAATAACAATATTATTTTTTATCCGTTTTGACAAGGCATTTTGTTGAAAAAATTCACTTAACGTACTTGGATTCAACACATTACTTTAATTTGTGTCACAAAGATTTATTTTAGTCACATTGTCAATTTCAGATATACTTTTTTTATCAGCAGCTTCTGTTGTATTAAGTTATTTTGGCTTTTAAACCAGTAGTAATATATGTAAGACAAGGTGAGGTTGAAGCACAAGAAAAAAAATTAGGAAAAGGTTCGAAATTGCCAAATCAACTTTTAAACAAAGACTTAACTGTTTATTTATTTTATTTTAGAAGAAATGGTCCTTAAAGATTAATATTTTCTTGATAACATTTTAAAAGACTCTTCCACATTTCTTTTTCTTAAAACACTTTCAAATTTTTCTCTCACGTTTCTGCAAAGTATACGTGGTATTACCAAGGACAGGAGCCATCTTGGGCCAAAGGGGTGGATGCCCTAACTCAATTTTTTGTGAAAAAACTGTACATATTGCATATAATAATTTGACGTGATAAAGCATTTTCAACTATGAAACTTCTAAAATTGAGAAATTGTAAGAAAATTAATGGATGAATGATAACATGGTTTTTTTAGGGGTGTGCTATCCACACATCCCTTTTTACTTCTCACACACCCCTTGTTAATTTATATACGTTGATCTTCTTCAATTCATTTGATCCGACGGCCGAAAACCAAAAAGATGTGGGAGAAGTAAAAAGGCGTGTGTGGATATCACACCCCTATTTTTATAGAAAGAGATATTTGATGGTATTAGTAATGAAATTATTACGCAACGCCCTTTCAAAACTTGAAAATGCGTCGTGATTGTGAGAGGATATTGTAATATGTACGAAATATTTTACAAATTAATATATGTGCTTTGTTAGTAAATTCTTAAGCTTTTTAATTTATGACTTTATTTGTCACAGCCCGTTCCGGGATTCTTTATTTCAGGGACGTGAAATTATGGAATTACCCTTTACGGGTATTAAGGTATGTGTGTGTGACGCATTATTTGGACTAAATTCATATATTTCAACTTTTGGAAATATTTTAAGTTGGAGTAAAATTGGGTTGTAATTTATGTGGTTAGGAAATAGGGATGGAATGGTTTTGAGGGACCACACACATACACGGGACACCCTGTCCCTTTCCCCGTGCCCTCTATCTCTCTCCCCTTCTCAGTTCCTCCTTTCTCTTCCTCACTCTCGAACGTACGGACCACCACCATATAACCCTGAAACTTCATGGATCGAGGGTTTTGAAGGCACCATCGTGCTTGTGAGGACTCCACGAACTCAACCATACCATTTTCAGGTAAGGATAGCTTCGTATTCACGTTGAAACAGTAAAACCGATTTGGGGGTACTATTCATGCGAACTTTAAAACTTGTGTTTTTGGAAATTTAAAGCTTGTAGGAAGCTTAAGGGAGTCCTCACGAGTCTAGGAGTACTTCGTTGGTAGAATTTGGACGTCGGAGGACCGAGATCGGAGTTTCAAAATTGGCCGGATTTTCGTGCTTCCTCAGGTAAACTCTAGTGGATTTTGGACCTTGAAACTAGTCTATTGTGATTCTACATGTTGAGGGCTTCCAATTCATATATTATACGAAGAAAATGGTTGAGAAACGAAGGAGAACGAAGCATTTGAAAATTCCCCAGTTTTCCGGCCACCGGAAAAACTAGTCCGGCGAACTCGCGAGGAAGAAGGTGCGCGTGGGCGCGCGTGGACCCGTGCTTTCCCTGGCTCATGGGGGCGCGTGCCACATCAAAAAATTATTTTAAAAATTTGTCGACGTTCGTGACGTCGAGTAGGTCAATGTGGTATATTTATATACCCAAATTGAGCACTGTATGAGAAGTTATTAAGGATTGTTGATTAGGTGTTTAAGTAACGTTTTATAGTTTTCGCATTTAGGTGAAAATGTGAATTGACGATCCGACCGTTGGATCGTCACCAAACTTTGATACGTTGTAATACGTAATATTTGAGGATTATAGGAACTTACGGATTGGGAATCCGATTTACGGATCTTCCGGAATTGGAGTTGTAAGTTCATAAAATAGAATGTAAACCGTCACTTAGTTTTGTTAATTGACGGAGATCCGACCGTTGGATGGTAATGAAATTTTAGGATGTCCTGGAGATATATTATGGACCTCTGGAAGTTATGGATTTAAAATCTGAGTGGCAGATCTTCCGGATCAAACTACGTAATGACGTATTTTATATAAGTTATATATTCTATCGATATGAATTCTGAGGTTGGATTTGATTACTGTTCTAGGCGGCGATCGTCATGACGCCTTGATGTGTGGTGCTAGGGAGTTGTTGGACGAACTCCAGGTGAGTGGGCAGTTTTGATTTCGTATTACCTATATACAGTTATTTTTCCCAGAAAATACGTTTTTATGAAAGTTATGAATTTATTTGCCATGCATAAAATTATTGAGATATTTAGTTTGATTATTGATGCATACATATGTGAATTGACGCGGTGGACGCTCAGGTGAGTTTATTTATTATTCAGCTGAGTTATTTATATGAATTGCATTGAAAGTTCATAACCTGCACCTAGGTGATAGTGCTTATATTGTTATTCACCACACTGCACGCTCGTCTTGGATCCAAGTAGGTGGATGTCGTACAGACCATGTGAGGGTTCCGACATGCTAGTTGTACAGATCACTAGATGTGATTCCAACTAGTGGGTGACCTTAGTTATGCGCGCCGATGATTGATGAGAGAAGCACTAGAGCGTATTCATACACCTGTCATCGTACAGACTACTATATGTAGTTCCGAGTGACGTGCAGAGTTGAACCGTACAGGTCACCGAGGTGACTCCGGTTGGATTGGATGTTGAGCTTTAGAATCAGCCGTAGAGGACCACTTCAGGGTCTTCGGTTGATTTATTTTCACCTGATTTATAGTGATGCATCTATATTATGTTTTTGGACACTTGGCATGGCATATTTTTCTGAAAAGTGTTAAAGGATAGTGATTTGAGATATTTGCTTATATATATGTTTATATATATGCTATTTTCTGGAAAAGTATACAGATTTTACAGCGAGGGGTTAGAAATGTTTTAAATGAAAGATTTTCGAAAAGCTTTGTTTTGCTGACCCACTCAATTTTGTTTTTCGCCCCTCCAGGTTTAAGTTAGCAGAGCTTTGGTGGCCACGAGGAACCCAACAGCGTTCTGACAGAATTCACAAAAGTAAGACTCACCCTCGGGGGTTTCCATTTAGTAATTGTATTTTAAGAGCTTCCGAACTGTGTAAATGGTTACGTCACTCTCACGTGACGGCCAGCACGCCCTCCTTCGGGACGGGGTGTGTCATTATTTTTTAAGATGTCCCGATTCATATGGATCTCAGATTTCTCCCAGTTGTATTGCTATAGTATCATTCTAGGTTACCCTAAGTTTGAAATCTTAAGTGTAAACTTGTTACAGATATATAAAAAGTGTTCCATGTGTTTTCTCCCAACTATCTGCTTCTTCTTGCTCAATGTTGTTACTAACTTCATATATATATTACATATATATATATTACGATTACTAACTTCATATATATATATATATATATATATATATATATATATATTACGATAATAACCATGCATAGTAACCATATTTTATTTGGAATAATTGTT